TTAATATGCATGGGATTCTTCTTTTCAAGGTACACTGGTGAATGAGGGGCCAACATGTTCATATGTGTGGGCTGCGCGCATGCTATCGCCAATTCCGGGCCAATCATAGATGCCATCGCGGCACGGGCGGCGGGTACAGCGGCGGGGGGGGGAGGCGGGGGCACCTTCGCCTTGGGCCGGGCGCCTTTGGGGGTGCAGCCCTTGTGCTTCGGTGCCTCAGATGGCTTGGCGGGGGCGGTGGGGGCAGGGCAAGCGCCGCCAACCTGCAGATTTGCTGGCGGCCTGAGCAGGCAGGGCCGTTGACTCATGCGGCTATATCCATGCATGCGTGCATACTTGCAACCAATCATTCATGCATGCATGCATGAAACCATGTGGCCTCGCTTTTTTCGGCATGTCGAACATGTGGGCTTGCTGCAAATGCGTGATTGCATGCAATTGCTGCAAATTCGTGATTGCATGCAATTGCTGCAAATGCGTGATTGCATGCATGCGGCATGATCATGTGTCATGCCATGTCAGCAACGCTTGTCCTGCCTGGCTTGGGATTAATTGGGCTAATGCTTGAAGATAGGGAACTGCTTCCGCGGGCACGCCTTTTGGGCCCACCTAGTTTCAGATGCCATGGGTGCACACATGCATGAATTGCCATGCTGTGAATCTCCCACAAGTTGCAAACAGCTGACATGTGTGATGCGCACATGGGAGCTGAGTCTCACACTGCCAGGCTCCATGCCAGAGGATGCTCCTTACTCACAACATGTCCACATGAAGCAAGCAAGCTGCAATCAGCACACACGCACACACGCGTTCAAGGCTGCGGCAGGCCGCACGCGGCGCGCAACCACCCTGCGAAGGGTCTGCCGAACCTCCATGATCTCCACCTGCGAAAGCCGCAAAACATGTGGCGAAGATTTTTGGGTTTTTCCCCACGCAGCAGCTGAGTGGTCATGTCCAACACTGGCAGGCACGGGGCAGCTCATCATGTGGGCTGTGGACGCTTTGCTGACAGGCCTGGGTGCGCGGGAGTGTGTGTATTTCTTTGTTGTCAGTTTGCAGGAGTCCCTCAAATTCAACACCATGCATGCATGCATGTGCTTCAAACTCATGACGCACGCAGGATCACATGCATGTGCAGGCATGGTCAGGCGTTTAATGGTCTTGGTTTGAAGGAAAGTCTCAAACTTACAAGTGCTGAATGTTTGCAATATCAAACATGCATGGTCTTGTTTTACATGAAGGTCTCACGCACACACGTCATCGGAAGCGCCATGGTCTTCATGGCCCGCGGAAGCCTTGTGACCACGCTGGTTGACTGCTCTGTCCCCAAGGCCTGGCAGATTGCATGTGTTCACTGTGTTTTGACGAACTTGCATTGCAGGTGCTCATCGCAGTGGCCAGGCTCTCATCAAAGTTGCAGTTAGCCACGCATGTGACACGCGGAAGAGGGGATAGTAGCCGACGCGCGGAGGGTACCCTGACGCCGCGCGGAAGGGCTGACGCGGGGATCGGGATTGGAGGGTACCTGACGCTCACGCTAGGGCGCACCCGCGGATGGGGACGGGGGGTACCTGACGCGCGGAAGAGGGGATAGTAGATCGGGTCAGGCGGTACCTGACACGCGGCAAGGCAAATCGAGAAGCTGACGACGTGCGGAAGGGCTGACGAAGGTGGGATAGTAGCTGACGTGCGGCACCTGACGCGCGGAAGGGGGGAGAGTAGCTGACGCGCGGATCGAGTCCTGACGCGAATAGCAGCCGATGCCGCGCGGAAGAGGCGCGGATCGGGATTAGGGCGCACCTGACGCGCGGATACCTGACGCACGGAAGGGAGGCTAGTAGGTCATGCGTGGATGGGGATGGGGGTACCTGACGCGCGCAAGGGGGATAGTAGCTGACGCGCGGATGGGGATGGGGGGGGTACCTGGAAGTAGATCGGGTCAGCAGCTGACGCGCGAATCGGGTCAGGGGGACGTGGGCGAACAGCAGCTGACGCCGCGCGGAAGGGCTGACGCGCGGATCGGGATTGGGTGGACCTGACGCTCGATCCGCAGCTACTATCCCAGTCTCTTCCGCGCGTCAGGTACCCCCATTCGCTCACATCCGCGCGTGAGCTACGCGCGTCAGGTGATAGTAGCTGACGCGCAGATCGGGTCAGGGGTACCTGACGCTCACGCTCCCTGACGCGTGGAAGGGAGGATAGTAGCTCGCAGAGATGGTAGTAGCTGACGCGCGGATGGGGATGGGGGTACCTGACGCGTGGAAGAGGGGATAGTAGATCGGGTCAGGCGGTACCTGACACGCGGCAGGGCGAATAGCAGCTGACGACGGCACGGAAGGGATAGGAAGCCGACGACGCGCGGAAGGGCTGACGAAGGTGGGATAATAGCTGGCGTGCGGATCGGCACTTGACGCGCGGACGGGGGGAGAGTAGCTGACGCGCGGATCGGGTCCTGACGCGCGGCAGGGCGAATAGCAGCTGACGCCGCGCGGAAGGGCTGACGCGCGGATCGGGAGTGGGGGGTGCCACGCTCACGCTAGGGCGCACCTGACGCGCGGATACCTGACGCATACCTGACGCGCGGAAGGGGGATAGTAGCTGACGCGCGGATGGGGATGGGGGGTACCTGACGCGCGGAAGGGGGATAGTAGCTGACGCGCGGATGACGAGCGGATGGGAGTAGGGGTGGAACTGACGCGCGCAAGAGGGGAGCTGCGAAAAAGTTTGACGCGCGCATACCTGACGCGCGGAAGGGAGGATAGTAGCTGACGCGCAGATGGGGGTCGGGGGTACCTGACGCGCGGAAGGGGTATAGTAGCTGACGCGCGGATGAGGATGGGGGTTACCTGATGCGCGGAAGGAAAATAGTAGCTGACGAGGGGCGAAACTGATGCGCGGAAGAGGGGAGGAACCTGACGCGCGGCAGGGCGAATAGCAGCTTCGAAAAAGGCTGACGCGCGGACCGGGAGTGGGGAGCGCCTGACGCATACCTGACGCGCGGAAGGGAGGATAGTAGCTGACGCGCGGATGGGAAGGGGGGTACCTGACGCGCGGAAGGGGGATAGTAGCTGACGCGCGGATGGGGGTGGGGCGCGGAAGGAAAATAGTAGCTGACGCGCGGATGAGGATGGGGGTTACCTGATGCGCGGAAGGAAAATAGTAGCTGAGGAGCGGATGGGAGTAGGGGTGGAACTGACGCGCACAAGAGGGGAGGTACCTGACGCGCGGCAGGGCGAATAGCAGCTTCGAAAAAAGCTGACGCGCGGACCGGGAGTGGGGAGCGCCTGACGCATACCTGACGCGCGGAAGGGGGGGGGGTAGCTGACGCATGGGGATGGGGGGTACCTGACGCGCGGAACGCGGGTGGGGATGGGTGGCGCGCGGAAGGGGGATAGTAGCTGACGCGCGGATGGGGGTGGGGGGTACCTGACGCGCGGAAGGAAAATAGTAGCTGACGCGCGGATGGGAGTAGGGGTGGAACTGACGCGTGCAAGAGGGGAGGACGCGCGGATCGGGAGTGGGGGGTGCCACGCTCACACTAGGGCGCACCTGACGCGCGGATACCTGATGCGCGGAAGGGAGGAGAGTAGCTGACGCGCGGACGGGGGGTACCTGACGCGCGGACAGGGCGAATAGCAGCTTCGAAAAAAGGCTGACGCGCGGAGCGGGAGTGGGGAGCGCCTGACGCATACCTGACGCGCGGAAGGGGGGATAGTAGCTGACGCGCGGATGGGGATGGGGGGTACCTGACGCGCGGAAGGGGGATAGTAGCTGACGCGCGGATGGGGGTCGGGGGTACCTGACGCGCGGAAGGAAAATAGTAACTGACGCGCGGATGAGGATGGGGGTTACCTGATGCGCGGAAGGAAAATAGTAGCTGACGAGCGGATGGGAGTAGGGGTGGAACTGACGCGCGCAAGAGGGAGCTGCGAAAAAGGCTGACGCGCGGACCGGGAGTGGGGAGCGCCTGACGCATACCTGAGGATAGTAGCTGACGTGCAGATGGGGGTCGGGGGTACCTGACGCGCGGAAGGGGTATAGTAGCTGACGCGCGGATGAGGATGGGGGTTACCTGATGCGCGGAAGGAAAGTAGTAGCTGACGAGGGGCGAAACTGACGCGCGGAAGAGGGGAGGAACCTGACGCGCGGCAGGGCGAATAGCAGCTTCGAAAAAGGCTGACGCGCGGACCGGGAGTGGGGAGCGCCTGCCGCATACCTGACGCGCGGAAGGGAGGATAGTAGCTGACGCGCGGATGGGATGGGGGGTACCTGATGAGGATGGGGGTTACCTGATGCGCAAGGAAAATAGAAGCTGACGAGCGGATGGGAGTAGGGGTGGAACTGACGCGCGCAAGAGGGGAGGTACCTGACGCGCGGCAGGGCGAATAGCAGCTTCGAAAAAAGCTGACGCGCGGACCGGGAGTGGGGAGCGCCTGACGCATACCTGACGCGCGGAAGGGGGATAGTAGCTGACGCGCGGATGTACCTGACGCGCGGAAAGGGGATAGTAGCTGACGCGTGGATGGGGATGGGGGGTACCTGACGCGCGGAAGGGGGATAGTAGCTGACGCGCGGATGTAGTAGCTGACGTGCGGATGGGGGTGGGGGGTACCTGACGCGCGGAAGGAAAATAGTAGCTGACGCGCGGATGGGAGTAGGGGTGGAACTGACGCGCGCAAGAGGGGAGGTACCTGACGCGCGGCAGGGCGAATAGGGAGTGGGGAGCGCCTGACGCATACCTGACGCGCGGAAGGGAGTAGCTGACGCGCGGATGGGGATGGGGGGTACCTGACACGCGGAAGTAGCTGACGCACGGAGGGGGATGGGGGGTACCTGACGCGCGGAAGGGGGATAGTAGCTGACGGGCTGGGGTACCTAATGTGCGCACGAGAATTCAGAGAAGCAAACGGACAAACAAACAAAAAAACTGAAAAACGAGGGGTTAGAAAAGGGTCCAAAAGGGAGGCAGACATCTCCGAAACTTGGAGGGTCCGAGGGGCGGAGCTGCTCCACGGAGAGCCCGTAGAAGTTCTTCCGCTGCAGCGCCGGCAGCTCCAGCGAGGCCGGCCCCAAGTCCAGGCCTGGCGCGTCTGTCAGTATGGCCAAGGTCACGACCTTGTGCGCACCAGAGAAGCTGTTCCATCTCCGAAACAGCCGAAACAAGTATTCTTCCGCTGCAGCGCCGGCAGCTCCAGCGAGGCCGGCCCCAAGTCCAGGCCTGGCGCGTCTGTCAGTATGGCCAAGGTCACGTCCTTTGCCCCCGGGTTCATTCAACACGAAACAATATTCAAACATCTGGCAGTCTGACAGACGTCTTGCAGCGAGTTGAAGCACTTCCCACATAGAAACGCACAAATAAAATGTTATGATTAAAACAAAAAGCAGAAACGCCGCTGGCACCACTCAAAGCTTCGCCCTACCTAAGATTCGGGAAAGCATTTGCCAAATTGGCGCAGTGCGTGCAAGGACCCGTCACTTCCCGCCTAGTCTGCCGATTGGCAGCGCATTCCTCAGCGTTGTGAGTCACAAGATAGTCACAAGCTGTGGGATCTCCGTTGGTGGGCTTCAAGGGCTCAACACGGATGGTGCTTAAGCAAGGCGAAACTGAAGGAAACTCTGGCTATGCGGAGGGTTCATCTTACTCATTGGTAAACCTTGAAATCCATTGCTCAACTTCCATGCGATCCGGTGACTGCAAGGACTGCAAGTGCAACATCAAATTGTGACAGCCTTGGAAGTGCCACCCGTATATTGCCCTCTGGGCCCCTCACAGCCTGCCCCTGCGTCTCTTTCCGAGTCACATCAAGGACACCGTGGGCCGGATGCACAGGTGCTTCACCTTCCCGGAGCTTCCAGCTACGCCTGGAGTGGGAAGCTCAGATCACTAAGACCCCTTGCTATAAGCAGGTAAGCAGGCAAGCAGTCAGTCGAAGAGACGCCAGTCCGCTGTCGGAGTTTAGGAAAGCTTGTTCAACTTTATGTAAGGATGGTGCTATCAGCAGCTTTTGCAGCAGCCCCATACTTCCCCGAGGCCGTCAGATGCACACTGGGGCCTGCGTCGGTCTCCGGGACCACCATGAAGTGCATCGCGCTCTCCGACTTGCCTCCTGGCGCGTGTGGTCACACATATTTTCTTGTTTTTGCCAGACTACTAGGCCAAACCTCCATGTGATGACTTTTGGCTGGCTTAGATCTTCATGAGGGTGGGTGGTGGGGGGGTTTGGGGTTGGTTTAGGCGAAGCGAAGGGTTGACATTCAGGCTGTGTTGGGCGGCTTTAGGGTTGACTTTGATTGGTTTAGGGTTTATTTGTGTTAGGTGTGCTGCTGGTTTCTTTAGGGTGTGGTTTCAGTGAGTTGTGGGCGAGTTTTGGTGGTTTGGGGCAACGCTAAAGCCGTCCAAGACAGCCTGAATGTCAACCCATGGGCCGGATCCGTTTTTTCTTCTTCTTGTTTTCTAGGGCTGGTTTTCTTACTAGGGCTGGTCCCCTGGTTGGTTGATTGGTTGGTTGGTTGGTTGGCTGGCCGCATCCCCGGCATCACCAGCCTCACTTGGCCTTGGGGCTGCCTATTGGCTCTGATCGGATGGCAGTTGGGAGTTGCTGGGGGCTTGTCTAAGTTAGGGTGGCTTTTGGCTGGCTTAGATCTTCATGAGGGTGGGTCTTGGGGTTTGGGGTTGGTTTAGGCGAAGCGAAGTGCTGACTTGGTGCCAGTCTTCTCAGCCAGCCTAGTGCCAAACTCTTGGCGTCTTCACAGCTCTGTCTTGAGGAGGTGCAACTACTTGGAAGAGCATCGGAGTAGGTAAGTTGTCCGTTCTGCTTCTGTGCCAATGGATAGTCCTTCAAGCAAGGCCTTCGGCAGCCAGCCGGCCAAATGATCTGCTCTCTGTGGCTGAAGCAAGGAAGCCCTGTGTGCACATGCGCTACGGACAAGTTACGGCCTCTCTGTGGATGAGGGTTCAAATTAGATCCTTGGAATGGCATGCTATCAGTTGCACACCCCTTCTCTGATTCAGCTCTTTGCGAAGGAGAACCTACGCCGGAACCAAAAACCCAACACTCATCAGCGCTTCTGGCTTCTGGCAACAACACTCGTGCCAACGAAGTATCAGATTCTCAGCAGCATTTCCGTGGAAAGAACATCCGAAAAGAATATGGACAAAGGCAAAAAACATCAGTAATACAGTAGCGGGCCATTTTAGCGCAAACATGTCTCTCGAGAAGCTGCGCGGGCTGCCTACGTGCACACTGTCTCGAGAACGCCAGACACAAAACTCATCCGCACCCTTCTACTGTAGCAGCTTTTTGAATGGACAATCGAGGGGCACCAAACAGTTTCTGGAGAATGCCAAATCTTCAACCAGTATCCATGTAGTTTCGCCTATGCTTAGTGGTGCTTGGTCAAGGGGGTGGAACAAACATGGGCCAGAGACTTCTGCTTGATAAGCTGTCCTTTGCAGGGAACGCCCTCCACCGGCTTGCGGCCGACAAGGCTGGGAGGGCTGAAGTCGCTGTGAGTGAGGGGCCGCAGGCCTAAGCAGGGGAAGGTCACTTGCAGTCAACCGGAAATGCTGAGACTCCAGGAAATGTAAAGTTCAGAAATATGAAATTGAGGTTCTCCGCTGCGTCCTTTCCGCCAAATAGAGGTTCCAAATCATTCGAAGCATTGCAGCTTGAAGACTGTCACAAAGAAGGGGGGGCTGCAACGGGATACTTACCTGGAAGATGCGGAAAGTGATACAGTACCGTTTTGGGGTCCTATGCTGATCGCAGTTCAACATTCCTCATTCTTGCCGAGGCACTGAGAATCGTCGCACCAAGCTCGGCTTTGGTGGCAGCAGGCGGCACTGCACAAATGCTATTTGGCGGGAGGCACACGAACCTCGGAAGTGGTTGGCCCTCCCAAGGAACTGGACTCGCGCCAAGCAAAAGCCATGGATGTCACTCTTCATCTGGTGCTTCTATTGTCAACTTGCTATTGTCAGCAACTTTGAACTGGAATCTGAAAAGACTTTTGCTTGCCACGACACTCACTGTCGGGGCTGCTCAACTTCTCGCCATGCGATGTCACTGCCAGCCTCGTGTGAGACCACACGTGTTGACTGCGGGGACTCGCGGGCCGCTGAGTCAAACAAAGTGAAGTGCAGCTAACAGTGGGAATTCGACAATGCCGCTGTAACATCAAGGAGCAAACTCCAGGACATCCAACAAATGATCAAAAGCCACATTCGGTCTGTTAACCCCACACTCTCCTCTGCTACGGGATACCGAACAAACAGAAGGGATATCTCAAGCCGCCGCGAATAAGGTCTGGTTGGGACCGCACAAACAAACCTGTACTGGGGGACCTACGTGCCATGGTCAAGTCCTGTGGATCGTCCTGGTACTAGTTGCTTGTCCATCCCGTGCAACGGTTGTCTAAACTCACCGTTCTGATTGCATACCCCAAGCAGCTCAGCGTTTCAACCGCGGTGCATATCAAACAATGAGCACAATCGTTCGGCAAGCATTGCCTAACACCTGTACAAACCCCTGGGAAATTTCACAAAATGAAGCAGGCTTCATCTGCACATTCCACCATCCTGGGTTTTGTTTCTACTACACCAAAACTATCTGGACAAACCTACCCAAGCAAAACAGCAGCTGACAGAAGAGTTTAGAAGACTTCGGTCCTCTTGAAAAGGTCCACCGTCCACTTCCATAATCTTTGGCAAAAATGGAAAGGGGCAACCTCCCCTGATAATTTCAACCAGTGGGTGTAGCTTTCCTAGCAGATCAATCACTGGATAACCCTCTAAATCAGCTGGTCGTGTGATTTCTTGGCTGACCCGAATGTATCCTTCCCGGGACCCCGGAGTTGTCCCCTTTTTTTGTGCTTGTCCGGTGTCAAGGCCCCAGCTCAGGGCTCACACCCAGCAGGGCCGCATCGCAGGTGGCCGCCTCCAGCTGCGGCACCACCTCAAGTCGGAATGTATTACTGTGTTTTGCTTGCTTATGCTTCCGCGATGTTTGTCACACTTGTGATATGGGGATATCAACATATTACATACATCCTTCGAGGAAAAAGGGCTTCTGAAAAGCGAAGGAGACTAGTAGCAGTTCTGATTGCCGTAGAATTTTGTTCATCTCAAGGTTGCAGGGAATTCCAGATTCATCATCCAGCATTTGGCTTCAAGCGCCAAGGCTTCTCGGGCAACCGTTGCGAATCAGCAGAAGTTCCCCAGTTCTTCTGAATAAATTCCGGTTTGGCAACACCTGCACTTGAGTTTCACACTCTAGGAAGCCTTGCTGTGCCAGCAGGAGCTAAAGACAGCGTACGTGAAAGAGAAGCAAGCTTCGCTTGCAAAGCACGGGAAAAGCAACCAAGTGGGAATCATGCCTACCGGACTTTTCTGTCGCCCCAGTGTGCTCAAGTGGCAAAACTTTGTGGAACCCAATCCAGTAGAATCATCCGAATAGATGTTCCCATTTGTGAGACATATATATATATATGTATATTGTATATGTATATATATTGTATATATATACATTGGTTTTCCAGCCAGGACAACATCCGATATGAGTGATACTGGGTCTTTCGATCCTCATGCACCTGCACCGATAGGAGAACTAATGACTGTGCCATCCTAAAAAGTTCTCTGCTACCTGGGAAGACTTGCCCCAAGCAAAACTGTTGTAAGTAACCACAAACGATCCGCAAACTGGTAGGCATTCAGTACTGTTCTACTTGGAGAGTGGTTAAATACTTGTCATTGAGTTAGGCAGATCGCTGTGAGTCTCGTTGTTGCGGAGCCACTGCCTTCTCCAATGTACGGGCTGATGCAAGGAAACAACTAACTAGAAACAGCGTTCAATGCCCCCAGCTTACCCAAGCTGCTGTGGCCCGGCTGTCCTCGTGAAAGCGAATGGCCAGTGGGACGTCCTCGGAGCACAGCCACAATCACGCACTCCAGCCATTGTTCCCAAAAAAGAAAGCTCGCGTTACTCGTTACTCACAAGCAGCATGTTCCTTCCTTGCGGCTTCGACGGGGGTTCAGGACCAACATGCGCCAAGCTGAATGATGGAGATAATGGACACCCACAAAAAGATTCAGAGTTTGATGAATGACCCTTGCTCACCCGACTTTGCTTGGTTGGACCCTCTGGTTGAACATCGCTTACATCGGAAGTTCCACCAAACGTTTGTCAGTGTGTTCCAACCCTCAATGTTCACAGCCAAAGGCTCTGTCGTTATGTTGAGCCTACCTTTCTTCTTTTGGGGACAGCTTGAAGGGGAAGCAGCAGCCCACGCTTCTGAGTGTCTCCTATGATATCAACTTTGGAGTAATTTGGAGGACCAGAAGGGGGATCAACTTTGAACAAAAACTTCGAACAGTTGGTCTTTAGGTTTCGGGTTTTAGGCTTTAGGGTTGGATTATGATGGCTTTGGGGTCGGGTTTAGGTTTAACTTCCCCCACGTTCAAAAGTGAGCCGCAAGACGCGTGCAAAAGCAAGGTTATTGCCCCAAATCAGAGGGAATCATGTAAATTGGGGGGGCATCTGGTCCGCAGCAGTTCGAAGTCAACACTAAGACCAAGTTCAAAGGGAAACCAAAAAGCCACCCTTCTGGGGCGTGGGGCGTCTCCAATTTTACGACCCCAGACCATCCCCCGGCCCACAACCGAGGCACCGTGGCGTTGTGGATCCGCAGCGCGGGCGCCAGCAGCAGCAGCCGATGGTCCGGCTGAGGCGTCAGCAGCTGTGCCACCACCTCGCCTCACACCACAAGTGGGACCCACGACAAGCGGGACGCACGAAAAAAGCAATCCGGAAAACCAAAACGGGGAGTGCAAGCATGGACCCTCTTGAAGCCAAGGGAGCTTGTTTCCATGCCTCTGCACAGTTTCACCCGAACCAACCCCCTGCCTGCGCAATCTGGAACCGCCACTGCAGCATTCTGCTCGAACCACAGAGGATCCGACATAGTGTCAGAGCCAGGCACACGAACGCGAAAGTGCTTCCTTGGATGACGACTAGAATGCTCGAACCGGAATGAGTCAAAAGAATCCAGAAGAGCCTGTGAAGCATCATGCTCCCAAACAAACAATTCATGCGCTCAGAAGACCTGGCAGGATCTAGGAAACATCGAACCGCAGGCGACTGCAAGAACGCTCAATTCCAAGGTCAACACCAAACTCCCCCAAATGCCAAAAATAAACCCAAAGGCAGCCCTCAAAAATCTGGCCCGCTCCAACCGCTCTGCTCCGAAGGTCAGCGCCAGCACCGAGGTGTGCTCGTCCAGAGCCAGCCACTGGGAGCCCGTGGGCGCCACTTTCACCGTGGACGGCTTCCCATCTGCGCGGCCAACGCAAGGGGCTTTTAGCTTCAGTCAGGGTCCGGAAGACTCATCTGAGTCATAACTTACAAATACCCCCTTTTGGAAAACCATCTTAGTGGTGATTGCTCCATCATCCCCACCGGTGGTCGAGTGTGCAACCCCCTCAAAGCATTTGCAGAACCAACCATGGGTAGGCTTGTCGTGTGCCACAGGTGCCCAAGCCCGAAAACAAGTCACTATCCCATCCAGGTGCTTCGCTTCATGTTGGCTTCCCTTTGGGGCTCCCTATCAAGGGACGCAGCCACATATCCTCCACTCACCTGCACCACCTGCAACCCCAATGCCAATGGCACCTTTCTTGTCAGTCAAAAACAGTCGGTTGTACCAAGATGGCAGCAATGGCGTTTGTGAACCGCACCAGTCACAAGAAGCCAGGGCCATACGAGCCGCTTGCACGGCCAAGAATTGAGTCAAGTGATGTCCACTGGGCGCTGCAGTCAGTGGAGGGGCCTCGGAACAAATAACCACCCACCAAGCATGGAAACGCACAACTCTCTTTTTGAGGAACGCCCTCCGTGCACGGACGAGTCTCATGGTTCCCAACGCGCGCACCTCGGCAGGTGCAGATCACCTCCAGGTGGCCACCCCACAAGCTCACCACCCGAATCTTGGGGCCCGAGGTGATCGCATCCTCGAGCGGCCTCGGGGATACGTCGGGTCGGCGAAGGCGAAGGCGTGCCGGTAAGAGGAAAGAAGCCTCCCCGTAACCCACAAAGACCTATACACGTGGGAAGCCACGTAGGCGTTTCCATGTGTCAGATGTAGCGGTGTTCGAGTGATGTTGTCCTTGATGTCACTCACACTTTGTGGTTGGTGTTTATATGCTTGCAATGATTAGAGGAACATCAACCAGGTCTGTCTGGCATATTATCCCACGGCCTCGGAAATGCTCACAACTTCACCACAAGGAACGTGCGATGTGTCAGGATTCAAAGGATTGGCAAGGACTTGCCTTGTGCAAGTCTTTGAAACACTCATGCGAGATGTGCACTGCCAAGGCACTGATCGGAGCCGTCCAAGGCCGGCGGCCTCGGATGCGTCATTGTCAACCAGAGGATCTTGACGCCGTGAAGACTTGGAGGGGATTGACTGCAATCCAAGGGCAGTTCACATGGGCGTGAATCTCTGGCTTGTCTTTTTTGGAAAAACCTGGCTTGGTGGATCCAAGAGGATTGGTGAAGGAGTCTGAGACCCAGCAAGCATTCCATTGCACCGCACAGCCATGAATCCCAATGCAGGCTTATAAGGAATCTATACAATCTGAAACGGCCCCTTTTGGGCGCACGTTCAAAGGAAGGCAAAGTAAACCAACAAAATAAACGGTTGGAGTGGCACAACTAGTATTGACATTCTTGAATTGACCAAAAGAGAAGCATCGATCTTGTTTCCTGCTCACCGGGCTCAATCAGGTCACTGCACAAACCCTCACCACTCCGAGCACTCCCATCACATGCCACGTGCCTACGCTATGCAGACTGCCAGATCCCCGGCCGACGGTCGGCTCGGGCGGTCCTGAGGCTCTTCAGCAGCAGCGGCAGCAGCTCCAGGATTTGGCGCGTGGGCGTGGGCACCAAGTTCACCAGCAACGGGCCCAGCGCGTGCCTCGGCAAGCAAAACGAAGCATGTCCTGGAAGGCACATGTTTGCACTGAGAGAGCGAGCACTCTCGCAGATTTTGCTACGACTCCGTTCGTGTCCGCGAGAATCTTTGTCATGTTCGGCCGCTGCGTGGGCCGAGTGCTTCTGTGCTGCGCTGACTTTTCCGCCTTCGTGCGGATTAGGAGCAATGAGAGACAAGGGCGGTCAGGGGTTTTCCTTGGGAGGGAAACAATTTCAAACAACCACGTGCAAGAAAGCTTGTGGCTACACATCTTCGAAACTGTTCCTCTGCACCTGAGACAGACTAGCGCGAATTCGAGGTGAAAGGACAAGTAGTGGTTCATTCTTCCCTCATTGCCAAGATGTGAAAATGTGTATTTCGCCCGGAAAGAAGTTCTCTGTGCCTTCCACTGCAAACTCAAGTCCGAAGTGGAACAATTGTGTTGCAGCGAATTCCGCGATTCAAGAGACATGGAATGTGCTCAGATTAGCCGAAACACCACGGACTTCTACACACCAGTTCGACATATTGCAGTCACAGGCCTGCATGGCAAGAAAAGGCAGGGGCACCAGCCGTCAAAGCGTGCATTGAATGTTCATTGGCCGGCAACCGCAGCCTTCGCAACGTGTTCTCATCTCTGCCCCAAGTTCCAGATCCCAGGAGGGCAAGACGGTCCCCGCAAAGTCGACGTCCCCGGCTGCCCACCTGCCAACCCCTCCGCTCCCTGGAAAGCCCAAGTTGCACCGAGAGCCGGACGGACTCCGCCACAGACAGGGAGGCGCCGAAGTCGAAGCGCTCCAGGAAGGGCTCCCAGTCACCGTGCCTCGACGCGAGCCAGCGGGTAGGCTGAGTGTAACCCTCTTGTGCCCCAGGTGTTTCAAGTGTGTCAATGCCGTGAACAAATGGAGTGGCAAAGCCAGACTGACGCTTTAGCCAAAGAGCAACAGCATGCACTTGCCGCAGACCACAACTATGTCCTGAATCTATCTGGAGGACGTACACCCGCAATTTATCCAGAAGATCTTCAGTTTTTCTCGACACGTCCACAGAAACGATGGTACTGTTTACGTCCGAGACTGGCACGTCTAAATTGACATAGTCCCCAGGCTTGGCTGTTCTCTACCACACCAATACATCGAGTGCCTCAATCTAACTAATCAATCTGTACTTCTGATGGTATCTTGTTGAGTTGTTGTATCGGTCTGATGGCACGCATGGCACACATCTAACAAATTTCTTGACAACAAGAACTTCATGCTCTACCATAGCGCTGCTAAATAACCGATTATCAGCAGCTCGAGGACACCCAATGCTTCTCTCGTAATCAGACCAGGTTGTGGGCATTCAGCAACTTGCTGCGGCCAAGAAATAAGAGATGTTTAGATTCTGTTCAAACAAACATAAACCCGCCATAGAAAGTTCCACTTTAGGAACCCGAAATAACCCGAACCACAACCAAACTGGAGGTGAGAAAAACTGAGCCCAAGACCATAAAATGCATAGGCATACATGCAGGGGATGGCTTTTCTTCAGTTTCTTGTTGGGAACTGTCATTCACCAAAAGCGTCTTTGCTCGACCCTCCGTCCCCTCCACCCCCCCATCCATGCCTGGGATTCAGCACCTCGATGCCCAGGCTGGCCTCTTGCAGGGTCAGGCTCACGTTGCCCGACTCCACCTGGTTGGTTTCAAGGCTCATCTGTTCCTTTCCCTTTTGCTATTGCCTTGCTATTGCCTTGGTCCCCTTCTGTGCACGAGGCTAGGGGGAACAAAGGCAACCTCACTGCTTGGAGGAGTCCCTTTCGTGGAACACCCAGAGATATGGTTGTTCGGGTGCTTCCTGAAACACGCTTGTCAAGGCTGGCCCTTGTTGGTATAGGCTGCAGTATAGGTGCCGTCCTTTTAGGCCAGTTTGCTTGAGAATTTGAATGCATTCTGGTGTCAATTTGGTTCCAATGATGGATTGATCAGCGACGTCTACGCCTCAGCCCAAATGCATCCTTTTTGCAATACACTCAAACACAAAACAAACAATATTGGAGAAAATGCATCCCTCTTTTTCTACGCCTCAAACAAAAAAAACGGAGAATCCCAGGAGCATCCAAGATTGGGAGCTCCGGCTTCCGGGGCCCGGGCCGACAGCTGCAGGCCCGGGGGCATGGACTCCAACCTCAGGCGCAGCAGCGGCATGATGGAGTCCGACAGCGCGAAGGTGGCGTCCTCGAACTCCACCGCCACCTAACGCGCAAAAGAAATTAGTGCCAAAAGGAAGCGGGAAAAGAAATTGAAGTCCTTTCCGAGCGAAACCCAAAAAGAAGCTTGGGATCTGCGAGGTCAAATGCTTGGAATTTTGAGACATGCGCCGGAGCCAACCCCAAAGTTCTAAAATGTTCAATGCCCAGTGCCTCCACCTCCCCCAAACGCTCAACGACTTTTGAAGTCAAAGTTGGCCTGATCTATGTGCTGCCGATATTGCTAGCCTTGTGGGGGTTTGTGCAAAACGACCTGCCGTGCACCCGCGACCCACGAGCCGGGCGCCCACGCAGTGGTGCGCATGGACTTCTTCTGGAGCTCCTTGGCCCTGCGCAACGTGCACGGAATTTAAAACAAATGTACATTGATGAGCAGAAACAAATGCAACAATGGACACGTGGCTATTTCAGTTCGTCAGTGCAACAGGTAGCGCTAGACCGCTCTTGGCGCGGAGCGCCTCTGCAAAGCTGCGAAGTCTTCACCCAGGACATCGGCCGCGATGCTCTTCCGACCTGGCGCTTGCGATTGAGGCACAGCCAGACTTTGGAATGTTGGGTGTGGGGCAGATTTCATCCACAGAGCACTTTGGCAATTCCTGAAGATGCGCGTGCGCGAATACACGCGATTGCCCTTACAGTGGTTCTTAACTCAACAGCCCCTGGCGTGCGCTCAAGAATATATTTTCATAATCAAGATCCATTGTCAATATCAGATCCACTCACTTGCAACAAAAGAACTCTCTGGCATCACAGCTTCGGATTCGTGCTTTCAACCCATGTGTGGCTATACAAACGGGAAACAGTTTCTGCAGAGCATACTGACGAACAAAGACTACACGTGCGGAGTGCGGCACATCTAGCACTTTTTTGCTAGGCGCACACCAACAGTGAGGCTTCTCCCTGCCTGCGGCATCGATCTTTTCCAACAACAGAGGCACCTGGCACTTGTGCTGTGAGCGCCAACTTACCGCCAACAGGATATCTCACCAAAATACGGCCCAAGAATCAACTGTGTCAACAGCATTGAGGCGCGGGTGCAAGAGTTCGACTCTGATTGTCTGATGGTGGTCCTGTGACCCTAAATGAGCCGCAACCAGCCTATGGGAACGTCTGGCAAGAAAGGGCCAATGTCTTCTGACACATTCCTACGTGATCCGGCACTCCGAAAGAACATGGAAAGCGTGGTCCACCTGCATTTTGTGGCCAACCTAGGTCCTATAAGTTACTAATAAACAAAAACTACTCCCCTGCAATCATGTTCAAAGGTCATCTTTTTGGGGCCTTCTTTGGTCTCCCAATTGTGAAGTATCCATGGGGTTCCTCGGTTTGGAGACACACCGGGCTTCTATTTCTGCCCGCTCTCCTGGCCCACTTCGCCTTCTCGTGAACCGGCTGCGGAGGCGATGGCTTTGCCTCACTTCCCTCGGGCATCGTCCTTGGCTTCTGCAACAGTCTAACTGTACAACTGAGAGAGAAAAGCAAAACAGTACAAACATGCAGGTCGAACAAGTGAAGCAATGGTTCTCGAGCCGGCTGAGAACTTCTACTGTCCCAGGGCCCAAAACTTGAAGAACCTGCCCAGAAAATGCCAAGCAGAATGTGACTGGCATTCCACGACATCACAACTGAGAAGACGACTTCCCCAAACGTGAAGCTCGTGTGGAGAAAAGGGATTACGTGTGTCGGAATCAAAATCAGACGACCCTTTCAACAGGTTGGTTTCCCTCATGCGTAAATCTCAAATCATCCAAACAATACACATCCTGGTTCTTGAAAAAAAAAAAAAGCTCCCCACTGATCCCAACCTGCAGCACTTCCTTGTCAGAGCACACCATGGACACCATCGCCTGCGGCAGGCCCATCAGCAAGTTCACCGCCTCCGGGGACGCTGACAGACTCAGGTGGCCCACCTGGCAAGACGCTAACGCCCCCCTGGCAGGGCCTGGTCAAAACGGATTGCCCTCGCTCAGGTGAAAGAGATGGCAAACAGAAAACTTGTGTTTTCCTGGATCCAGGAACAAGCCCTGCCCGAGCCAGCCAAAAGGCAAAGTGATGGCTGGGAGCCTTGCCAGGCCTCACCTGTGCACACCTTGCCATCTTCTTCTGTCCCAAACACAACAATCTGGGGAAAAGGAGCAGTATCCAAATCCTCAAAGCCGCGCAGAGGGAAGAAGTCTTGCTCTCACGCGCAGAAAATTGTCCGTGTAGAACTGTTGCCATTGGAGAAGAGGGACCTTGCGCAATCTCTTTATTTCACAACGTTGACAGGCTTTCTACAGTCTGGCTGCATGCAAGGTAACTGCGTACTGGCAGAAGTATCTTGAGGAACTCTCTAAAATACCCAAATCCCTTCAAGCGCCTTCACTGCTACGGCCACGAGCAAGTTAGTCTTCTCCTCTATGTACCTTGCGAGGAGCTGCGGTGTCTGCATCATATCTTGCAACAACCAAATCATGCAGAAGTGGCGTTCACAATGCTGAAAAGATGGCTTCTTGAGAGACCAGTAGGGGCAAGACCCAAAGGAAAACAATGACCCACTCAATCACAGGAAAGCCGTCCTTTCACCTTGGCAGAAAAGCTGGATTGGTTGCCGCAAAAAGCGCGTCTTTTCCAGGTCAGGCAAGATGCTTGAAGGTGATATTGATCGGAAGAGGTTCCACCACGTCCTTCATATTGGAAAGACAGCAAGAAGCATGGGTTTGGCTCGCAAGCAAGCACCATCAACTGAATGCAAGGTATAAGAGATCTAGAGTCTGAGCTGGGTAGGCTCCTCAAAGAAGTGTCCACAACGCACCGATCCACAGTTATCTTCACTTCGCAGGACGTTTGGAGAAAGCCTTTCAAGGTTTGTCTTGCGAATATTCTGCAGGCAAGCATCGAAGGATTCACCCTGCTTCGAAACCGTGCACACTTGCGTGTGGTTCAAGTCGATGTTGAAGCTCAATCCTTGGCATCTGGCCTCTCAGCCTGCCCTGCGGATGTGTCTAAGCACGGCACTTATCGTCCCCCACTGCATTTAACGTCCCCACGGCATTCCTTGCAACTGCTCAAATAACGTGACGAGAAAACAACAGAGATGGATGAAATTGCGACAACAAAGAAACTGCGATCAACTCCACGAACGCGATTGCCAGGCGCGATGTGCAGCCCTTTTGAAACTTTCAAAACCGCACCATGACAACAACGCTGCGCTGCAATGACCGCCGAGGGCAGCTGACTACAGGCGGGCCCAGGGGCTGTCAAACAAGCACGGCTCCGGCGTGGCAACCACGAGCTGCCCAAGCGTTATGACTGCCTCGGCGGATGTGCTGCTGCAACTGATGCTTGCTTGCGTGGGTCCGAAGACCTGCTGCAGGTGCATGGGAGAACAACAATTTGTCGTCAGAATCCGTCAAGCCTTCCAAAACAGCAACTCTTGGCTCCCAACGTCTGGCCAGTGTTCAGGTGAAAGCCCAAAAGAACCACTGTCAAAAAATAAAGAGAGAGCAACCTACTCAGGACGCCGTTGTGAGTGTGCCATCTCCCTCTCTCTCCGCGCCTTCCCAACCGAAGCCACAGGGACGTGCACCGTAGGCGCAAAGAGCCGAATGTCGATGCCTAGATCCGTGACTCCGTTGCTCCGTGGCTCTCAGCCTCCAACCATTCGTTAGATACGGATTTAGGGAAGTGATTCAAATAATATTTATATAAGATGCTCAAGTACCAAATGCCCAAGCAGCAACAACATACCCACCTGATGATATATAAAGAATAATTCAGCATCGTGGCGGGACACGTTGCTCGAATGCATAACTTCTCTCCCCTGGTTCTCGTGAAACCAGAAGGAGCCTGTGATCACGGCTTAAACATGCAAGACATACAGGGGCCGCGCCGACCATGCGAAAAGCAGATCTGGAAGTCCTTTCACCGGGAGACTGATCTTGTCGGGGATCCGGTTGTAGACCTCCAGCGCCAGCTCCTTGGCGCGCTCCGCGTTGGCGTCCAGCACGCTCCTTGCGGTGCTACACCAAGGGCCACGGGAAAGCTTGGGACGCCTCAAAACCAAACCGGTGGGTACTCGTGCAAACGGGCATACGGGCATTCCCTAAAAAGGGGGCTTTCAGAATGAGTTGCCGACGAAAATGTTCGACCGTTTTTTTTGGGGGAAATCTATGTTAAATTGCAGAGAAGCATGTGCCTAAATTGGGGACCCTTTGGCGCGCACCATTCGCACGGGAACGTGTGTCCACCAACCAATTTTGAGCATAATGTCAAAAGTAAGCTCATTCCCCAGTGACCGGGGGAACTTCCCCTGACTAATATGGCCCTCCAGATCCATCCGAACTTGACCTTACCTTCAAGCCGTCCAGAAACAGCCGACAGAATTCTTCTCGGGATGGTCCTAACACAAATCCTGCACATTGACATGGCGATGAAATGTGGCTTGAAGGCTTGAGGTTCCCCATTTAACGAAAGCAAATGGCTCCAGCAATTAAAGCACCTGAAAATAGGCGCTGAGTCGTGGTTGCAGAATGTTGGTGGAACAGCCAGTCCCATGTGCAACGTCAGCAGTTGCCAATGTTGTTTGTGATGTGTTTCTTCTTTTGTCAAGCCTCTGGTTGCGTAATCGAAGCATAAATTCAGGCAACTAAGATTTTTATTGGCCCAAAAGTGCTTGCTCCAAGACTAAAATGAAGCAAACAATCGCAAAGCGTTGCACTCATGGAACTGGTGAAATTATTGCAATTTCTGAAGATTGGCAATGATTGGCTGCACTACCTCAGCAGGAGTCAGCTTCAGGCTGAGCCCTGCTTGATGGATACAAGGCGTGATTGGAAACACATTTTGCGGCGTGAAATTCAGCTGCGGTGTGATAGTGATGACGCTTTGCCATCAATAGCTTTACTTGCGAACTTTGACACACGCCTACTGCGTATAGCGCGGGCCCGACAACCCCGTCTGCGCAAGCGTTGCGACTACAATGTTAAAAGAAAGCGTGTTTGCTGGTAGTTTTTATGTTGCGGCGCCTTGCTTCTCCTCCCCTCCCCTTCTTCTAACACTTTTGTAAACAGCCAAACGGGGTGTAGGACCCGCGCATTGCAAATGGAGGGCCAAACACTATGCCTTGTAGCACTCCCTCGCTGGCTGAATGGAGTCCTTGCCTTTATTTTCTGGCTGAATGGAGGTCTCTGCGTTGCGGCGTTGGAGAAGACAATGTATCTTTCATGCATTTCTTGAGTGCACTTCTTTGTCTGGAAGCCTTACACACGTCGAGGGCCAATTGCAACAACAGAGGAAAATTCCTGGCGTCATGCTCAATACTGCAATCTTTTTCAGGAGCCCCGCAGAGATCCGGACTGCGGCCTGGAAAAATATCAAGCTCAAATACAAAAGCCTCCCGGGTGCTCAGAAATGTCCACCATGACACTATGTCCAGGTTTCTCGTCTCGAAGACAAGGCAAGCACGCTGGCAAGCTCGCTTTCGCCCTGATGCCCTGAACCAGTCCTCAGCCGCTCAGCACGGGTCGGCCCCGTGTCAGCTTCGGAGTCCTGGCTCGGTCAACACCAAACGGAGCCTATCAGCGTCTTGATGCAAGTGTTTTGTTGTTTGAGGACACTCTTTTCGGGTCTATCCAGGCAAAAAACATATTGGGTTTTTCAGACCCCTTATTCAAACAGCCAGGGTCTGAGGAGCTGGGATTGCCTGCGGCAAATTATCTCTTGGGCAACTTCAAATCGGGACAGAGACAGATACACAATGTGCATAACGTGCATTTGGACTTTGCTGCGACTCAATAATTTTATCTACGTCATCCCCTCTCCAGCGAAAGCTTGGGGCTCCTGGTGTCATTTGGCGCCGCCCAAAAGGACCCTAAAAGGACCAAAACGGGTCACCAGTCTGGTTGGCTGCTTCGTCCTTATAGGATCGAGGTGACTGGAACGCTCGGAAGGAAGGAAGGAAGGAAGGAAGGAAGGAAGGAAGGAAGGAAGGAAGGAAGGAAGGAAGGAAGGAAGGAAGGAAGGAAGGAAGGAAGGAGTGAAGGAAGGAAGAAAGGGTTGCCCCGATTTGTTTCCTTTAAAAAACTGGTGACAAAGAAGGCCTCTCCTTTTGAGCCCTGACACGCCCTCGCCCGCCTCCAGGATCAGCTCCAGCTGCTGCTTTTTGTGATCTTTGATGTTCGCGGCTTTCTCCACCTGGCATCTCCGGAAGGCTGTCAAACCGTTAACAAAACTGAAGAAACCTTGCCATGGCTTTGGCTTCAGTGGAACCTGAAAGCCTCTGCAACCCAAAGTTGTCTACTCACCCCAAACCAGCTCTCCGACAAAGCCTTGTTGAAGCTTAAGTAGTTGTCCATCCAGCACACCTTGCATGATCTGGCCCGGCCAGACCCACTTAAAAACCCCAGCCACCCTCCCAACTCAGCAGCCAGCTCAACCAACCCAATTCACATCATCAATGACGCCGGCAGCCCTGCAGTCTGATCAGACAAGCAAACGCCAGCATGCCGAACCCTGAGCGCACCTCTGCTACGCCCGGCAAGAAGCCCAGAATCGAGGCTACCAGCCCTGGAATCATGAAGATCTCCATGGGGGCGAAGGTCAAACTCCTTGGAGTGTGAAACAGGTGACGACCGTGGTAAAAACCAGGTTTCGGCCTTTTCGAACCTCTGGTGACGTCGGGCGCCGTCTTTGAAGGAGGTCCAACGTAGAAGGCTCAGAATGTTGGGAAAGAAAGGTCCAGTATCCCACTTGTGCTGTTTGAGCCAAACTCAAAGGAATGCCACCAGTGAACGCCCTTGTATATCATTCAAGAACGCAACCCTACGCACACCGCTCCAAAAATCGCAGCCCTTTGAGGAAAACAAAAAGATGGCAGGCCCATCTCGGGCAAGCGTCATGATACTGTCCACCAAAAGCACTGGCCATGACACTGCCAGGGAAATTCCTGTAAAGCCCGCCAAGCCAGGAGAATTAAAACTATAGATTCGAACGCGCGTTTTTGCACCATCACCTTCTGTTGCAGTCTGTGGCAGCACAGCCCAAAACGGCACACGTCGACGCCCGCGCGCGTCAAGCTCGAAAGCGGGGCGGGCCACCTTGGACAAAGGAGTCATTTCCGCCACGTCTCCTTTGCAGCGTTTGAGCACGGCGCCGGGCTGCGCGTCCGCGGGCAGCTGCCGGGCGCGGCGGCAGCGGCTGGTGTCCAAGACAGCTGATCAGCTAGCAAGCAAAGAGGCTAAGCTGTTCAGCGAATTCAACGCCACAAAAACGAGCTCATGGTTGACCACAGAGCACGCGCGGCCAACACCTCCGGGTCGTATCCGCGACAGAACCAAATCCACGCGCACGTTCTTGCGATGTCTAGCCTTTTCTTAGCTTTTTCACACGCAGTGCAAAAATTCCTCAAAGAAAGCAGAGCTCAGGTACTTCCAGTTCTGCAGAAGTGCTTGTTTCAAACTTCCTTTGATAAGGGCCCCTGTTGGGTCTGGACAAGTCAGCCAGTCGGGCAGTCGGCTAGTCGAGTCGAGCGGCAGCACCATGAGGTTCTGCGTGGACTCCAACTTGTTCTCCAGCCGCAGGTCCAGCGCCTGCACGTTGTCCACACCCACCTGGACACTCGAGCGAGGTGCGCCCCTTCCCGCCAGCCTAGGAACAGTGAGACGATGATGATGCGGCACCAAGTGCGAATATGCTGGTGCAGGCGTGTTTTCGAACCAGTTGGACCGATAACATAGTGGATTAATATTGAAATGGACCAAAAAAGCGTATGTGTGCTCGACTCATACCACTCTGCGACTGGCTCCCGCCTTTGGCTTTAGGAAAGGCTTCTGCTGATGGGAGACGGTCACCTCAGAAGACCGGGGCAATCTCACTGGCAGCTATCAGCTCCCCTGCAAAACACGTATGGGACAGATGTGGCCAACAGCAATGTGTGATCCTGAGCTTGGCCGATGCACAGGCACGCAAACAGAAACAACGAGAGAAAGAAAATGAGAAATGTGAAAGAGAAAGAGAGAGAGAGAGAGAGAGAGAGATTCATATTTGGCTCGAGACATTCTATATTTGGCTCGAGGTACAGGTACATTGGATTGTGACACCGCAAAAATCACCACGGACCCATAGCCCCCACCTCCCTTGCGACTCCAGCCCCTACGTGCCCCTACCCCTTCAAAAAGAAGAAGAAGAAGAAGAAGTGGACACATTGACATGTCCTTCGTGGTTGTTTGGTCATCCCCAAGGGAATTCTGCCGTCTTTCACGCGGCGCAAAGGCGCCGAGCCCAGGTTTAGGAACAGCCCGAAGTCCGCGGAGCTCTGCCCCCGGTGGTCCGTGGCGGAGGCCACCTGGGCCAGCGCTGGTGGGCCTAAAGGCAGCCCCAAGTCGCCTCGCAAAAACTTAGCCTTTCGCCCCGAATTTCCCGAAGAATCTGAATGGCATTGAAATCATTGGTGTCCTTGCCTTTCGCCTTTGATAAGACACCCGATTTTGGGCTCCCTTCAAAACGAAACCCAAGTAAGGGAGAAAAAGTGAGGGGTCCAAACGATTTGTAGTGGATTGCGGTGCGGGATCGTAGACACAGCACAATGATGATCTTCGAAACAGATGTGACTGTTCATACTTGGCGCTACCCAAATTGTAGGTGGACTTGGGGATCTGCTGCATTCCAATGAAAACCAAATTATTTTGGGTCAGCCATTATCTTCATTCAGTGGGATAGTTGAAAAAAGCTCCAAGAAAAGAAATAAGCCGACAAACTCTCAGCTTTGATATCCATTCATCTTCATGCTGAGCAAATCACTTTCCGCTTCATTCCTAGTCATGAGCCCGCGTATGCCTTCTCTACGATAATAGGTTGGACCGTGGCCAGTTCCTGCGGTTGATCGCCCAAAAGCATGGTCAAGTAGGCCAAGCACCAAGCATGGCGAAACGTGGGAAAGCCATGCTTCACGACTTGCAGCATGCTTGGAATGTGTCAACACTAAGGACGCATCCAAGACAAGGAGGTTCTATCTTGGCTCTCCACAACCTGCTCCCCACTTGGGTCCGTATATTTGTAGCACCTTCCCATTGAGGCGATCCGCCACGCCTCAGCCCTTCTGATGCTTCCATGGCACATTCACAGCAAGGGAAGTGGTATTCAGGTCCAACTTCAGCAGCTGGAGCGAGCTGCCACCACGAGTGTCGTCCTCCACATCCAGGAGGGCCTGCGCGCGGAGCCGATCAAAATTGGGCTCATGCATAACCCAACCAGCATGAAGCGCTGTGATCAAAGAAAAGCTGCCCAAAGCCTTAAAACCGTGGCCTCTTCCATGCGCAACCCATTGGCTGCTGACCAAATCAAACACCATTCAATCCTTCTCCGCAGAAATGCGAATGCCTCCCAACTCGCAGCAAACATGCAGTGATTCTGGCGGCACCCGAGCGTGTAATACCCAGAGCCCAACTGCTCTGCGACTCCCACAGCCTGACCGCCCTGAAGCATGATGTTCATCTTCTGGGGTGGCTCGACCACCTGCGGCATGAAAAAAGCCCTGGAAATCAACAAAACTACCTATTGCATGGGTAGGTTCGGCAAAAAGCGTGCGCAACTTGATGCAAAACCTCCTTCTGTAGGCTTCGCGATGACTACCATGCAATTGCATGCTGCGAATATCCAAAAGAATACCCATCACCTTTTCAGGTTTCAGCGGTCAATGCCTAAAGGCTAAAGGTGCTGCAGCTGATTCTAAACTTAACATCAAATGTACAACATGGTTGCCGAATTAGTCATTTGAATTTGGTACCCGGTTTCTCCTCATCATTACTCTGTTCTTAATGTTTCATAGACAAGTTCACACGTATATTCCCATATCCAGCATATCGCGAAAGGGTCGGCGGCAAGTAAATCACACATCTGGCAATTTACATCGCTTGGTGGTTTGAGATTCTGAGCTCAGTTCTTGAAACCAAATGGGGAAGGTATATCCAAACCAGGTCGAAGTGATCTTCTGACAGTCGCGCCCCTCCGTGCCTCCACATCCGCGGCGGAGTGGAGCTCCTTGAGCAGCTCCTCCGCGCTGAGTTTGTCCAGGGAGCTCTCCTCCTCCTGCCGCGCCCGGAGACGGCAACATCCGAACATGGATAAAAAGCCAAGTGTTCCGCCTGAGAGACGTCGAAAATTAGTCTGCCTGGATGCGTAGAAGGTGCTGTAGATTCAATACCAAGTCAAGCAGCTGCAAAGTTCTGAATCTCTGCGCCAAGTGAACTAGGACGATGTGTCCCCAATAGGGAACGGATCTCCTTCCTCATGTCTCGGTGGGAACCAGGAATACTTTGCCGGGACATAAATCTCCTCATGGCGCAATGTGGCCACTTTGCAGATTGGCTTTGAAGAGAAAACGCCCCTTTCAGAATTCAAAATGCCTGTAAAGAGACATCATGTTTAACCAGTTCGAACCCAGCCCAAGTGTCGACGCCAGGTAGCTGCCCCCCCACCGCTCACCGTCTCACTCCTGTTTCCCGAAGAAGGTGCGGCTGAACCAGCCTGCCTTGGCCTCTCAGGTTGCCAAGATTCAGGCAAAGGCTGCAAAAGAAAAAAGGGAAAACTCGTTCTGAGGTCTGCCCCAGGGCAACATGCTCTTGAAGTGTGCAGCAAGCAAATTCAGTTGTCAGAAAGTGACAGTGACATGCAGAGCAGGTGGGCCGTTCTCCATTTACAAACTGCCCGCTCCTGTAACTTTCGCCACAGTTTACTTTTTCAACAACTCTTCGCACCAGGTCTTTTGCCGCACCACGGACGGTTTTCACTACACAGCGCTGAAGATCGTTTCAATCCAAGTCACTTCCCCCCAGTTTGACTCCAAACGCCGGCCGAACCCCGCGCCGATGCCTGGGGGGTAGCCTTCTTCACTAGCTCAGTGATGAAGTCCTCGGCCCGGCACCTCTCCTGGGCTGTGACGACTCGCCCTGAAAACTGGTTTCAAAATGGTCCCGGATCCCATCCGTTGTGGGACACCACAAGGGAAACCGCGATCTGCACAAGGACCAATTAAGGATTGCTTTTCGACAACACAAGCTTTTATCCGAAGTTTCCCCCATGCCGACATTTGATCACCGGGAACGGAAGACACGCGTTCGGCACCCCTTTCCACAACACTTGACCGGAAGTTAACCTACTCTCCAAGGAGCTGTTGCTAGCAGTTGGAAGGGCAGGACGATTTCCAGCGTCTCAAGCTCCTGGGAGGTGGGCTGTATGGTGAGATGGGCCACACTCGCTGTCTGTCTAGAGCGTTCCCAAGGTTGTTGCTTGTCATCCTTGTTCTTGGTGTTTTTAGTGTCAGGGATGCGTCCCAACATGTCCTGTTACTGTCACTGCGGCTGCTACCGCCGTTGTTGCCACCGCGCTTTGATGCTGTCGCCGCCGAGTGTGTTTCTGTGTTTGTTGCTGCTGCAGTTGCTGCTGCTACTGCTACTGCTACTGCTACTGCTACTGATACTGTTATTGCTGCTGTAGCCGCTGTGGCTGCAGCTGCTGTTGCTGTTCAGTCTAAAGTTGCCATCACTGAAGTTGATGTTGAAGTTGATGGCCTTTGCTGGCCTGTTGTTGTTTTTGGTGTCAACCCCGTGAGGGAGTTGCGGTCTTTCCCGTGTAATTCAAGCTTTTGCGAGGGGGGGAGAGGGAGGAAAGGAAAAAGGGCAATCCATTCCTGAGAGCATACTGAAAACAGCCTTAGTGTCGACACTGCATTAAATTTGTAACAAAGGGCCCTAAACGCAAACCGCACCAGCAATATGCGTGCATGCAAAGCTTGATGATTCATGTGGCTCGTTTTCGGCTGAAAATACCTAGTTTCGAGTTGCAAGGAAGTCATGCCGCCTTCCTCAACTGCATTCGCCTTTGTTCATTACATGAGCATTGATAGCTGAGTCTATTTGTGACGAGTCTGGGGTGCAGCTGCAAGTAGCTTTGCTCGCTTGGCAGCAACCTTCTGCGGCTTCGCAGCTCGCGTCCAGTTTTGGAGCACTGGCGCCTTGTTCAGCAGGTGTCAGTGTTGGTTGGTGTCTATAGCTTTTCGCACGAAGGGTTGCTTGGGTTGCCAGCCGACATGAGGACCTGCCCATATTACAAGCCCTTTCAGCCACTAAGGAGCCAACCACCTAGGACCGCTTACTGACTTTGCCAGCGGGCGGTATGACGATCATCTGCTGATTTGGTCGGATGAAGCGTTGAAGAAGAGCGGAAGAAGAAAACTGAACAGGTTTGCTGCCGTAGTCGGATTCGCTGAACTGCTGTTTGATAGACGACCCACGTTTCTACAA